ATATCTCAAGCATATGATTATAGGTTTAGAATTACCTCATTCAGAGGATTGCCATAAATAAAGCAAGATTTGCAAAGGAAGTGGCTGTGCCGGGGTGCATCACGGAAACAAAACACAACCTTAGTATTTTCCTGAATAAACAAATTTTGGCGCCAACATGTGTTGAACAAGACACACTAAGGAAGCCGAAAACGTAGTTAGGTGTACGCAGGGAACCTCATCAATTCTTGCAAATCATTCCCGAGTATCTAGGATGTGGAGTCTACATGCGATTATGGAGTGATAGCGCACAAAATGAGGGTCATGGGCATTACGGGGAAGGTAGGCAGAGGACACTGAAAAATTACAGGAAGACATAAGCAGGGATTTCCAGTGGGCAGTGGAGAACAACATGACGTTCAGTGGTGATAAGTTACAGCTGCTTAGGTATAGAAAGAATGAAGAACTCAAAAGGAACACTATATACAAAACTTAAGAGGATTACCAAATAGAACGAAAGGAACACGTAAAAGACCTGGGAATAATTGTCAGCTGACCTTTCTTTTAAAGACCATAAGAAGACAAAGATCACGACAGCCAGGAAGATGACGGGGTGGGTATTGAGAACTTTCAAAACAAGGGAAATAATGTCAATGGTGACACCCTTCAAATTGCTAGTGCTCCCTCATTTAGAGTATTGCTCAGTGCTGACGGCCCCGTTGAAAGCACGAGAAATATCAGAGCTCACATTGAGCCAGTAAAGCACTTTAATTACTGAAAACGCTTTCAAGTCTTGAACATGTACTTATTGGAGCGGAGGAGAGATACATGATAAATATATACCTGGAAAGTACTCGAGGGCCTGGTCCAAATCTGCACACTGCCATAACAACATACTGGAGTGAGAGATATGGGAGGAAGTGCAAAATAAACCCAGTGAGGAGCAGGGGTTGCGGTGGGCACAATAAGGGAACACCGTATTAACATTCGGGGTCCCAGACTATTCAGCATCTTACAAGATATAAGAAACACGGCTGGAACAAGTGTAGAAGCCTTCAAGAGGAAACTGGACAAGTATGTTCATCAGGTGCCAGATCAGCCAGGCTGTGATGGATATGTGGGGCAGCGGGGCCTCCAACAGCAGCAGCCTGGTTGACCAGGCAAGTACCAGACGAGCCTGGCCCATGGCCGGGCGCCGAGAGTAGTGAAACTCTCGAAACTCTTTAATTAAAGGTATATCAAAGGTAAAGGTATGGGACTGCATGCTGCATGTTCCAACATTGTGGTTGATCAGGCGGAGAAGATGGTGATCCCCGGAAACACTCGAGGTGTGCGTAACAGTATGTAAAGTTTGTTACTTGCGACTGGACGTGTGTGTGTGTGTGTGTGTGTGTGCTTTGTTCTTACTGATGACCATCTCAGGGTCTTTCTCTTCTCAGTGGTTATCAGTTATCTCAGTGGTAGTGACGGGATAATTGAACACTGTGCTCGCTCTTATAATGATGAGGGAAGAACTAAAATTGTCAGTACAAATTTTACGAAATGTCTTAAAAAAAAGTAAAGAGATCCAAGTGTTGAACAAGACAGTGATATCTTATTCTATAACCAAGATAAACAACTTGTCCCTTTATGTTTTTGTTTAGCATTACTTTGCTCAAGTACCCACTGAGAAACATATCAGCAGTAACCTCTCCTCTTAATAAATGTAAAGCCAACTGGCTCAAAATAAATCTCTGGTCTTAATCACAATAGCACAAGTTCACTGGCAGGGCTGCAGCTGCTCTTGTTGACACTGAGACAGATAACAACTATAGAACGATGTCGAGTTGAGCATTATAATGAACAATTCAACGTCTGCACTACAAACTCAACTTTAAAATAAAGGCACGTAAGCAACATTATTTAGGAAAAGTTTAGAAAACTAAAGGTTTTCGTAATCCAATACAGAGCACGAAAAAATGCAGTATTTGGACAAAAGTCGATCGTGATGTTTTGGTAGGGTAGTGTCAGCTTAGTTAATGTTCTTGATATCCTGAATTCTCCAAAATTCTGTGTCACCGTGTAGGATACTACGATCGAGTCTGCTTCCAGACAGTGCCATTTCTCAAATGGATTTCCTTCACGACTAATTTGACTTCATACCTTTTTTTCGGGTGTTCTTTCGTAATCAGATTGTCTCTGGTATATATATGTTTGTGGCTCCTTTAAACGCTAGCCCATGCTCCTGGTTCCAGCGAGAGCATCAGTAATATAAGGAACCATCTTAGTGGCTGTGGTGATGATACATTGAACACGGGTTTCGCAGTCTAAGATAAGGTAAAAGAGAAACTGAAGGCGTGTGAATGCCTGAGGAAATATGTTCACAGCCATCTATGAATTCCTATGGGGTGGAAATTCAATGTTTTCTGAGAAAGAACCTGATACAGCTTTTATCAGTGAGGGAGCGTGATTGACAGTGACTTATGAAGCATCCTCATTTGCAGAAGTTAGAAATAGATATTAAAAACTCAGAAAACAATCA